TGACGTTCCTATCGATCACGAACCTTCCAACGAGAATCCAATATTGTCGGGACGCCTCCCGCGCAAGATCCGTCACTGGATCATCCTCACCAGCCTCTTCATCCTCCAAATGGATTTTCGTTGTGCTAGTAATAATGTCCTGAACGTCCATGCTAGGGCTCTGCGTAACCAGCTAACCGCCAAACAAGATCGGTAAGAACAGAAAAAGAGACCATGAAGTAGCATGCAAAGCAAGAGAAAACCCTAGATACCAGGGAGAGAGGGAAAGTGTGAATCTGTAATATTGTTGTTTAATATATATATATATATATATATATATATATATATATATATATATATATAGAGAGAGAGAGAGAGAGAGAGAGAGAGAGAGTTGTGTTCAGGTGCGAATGTCGCGTCCAGGAGCGAAATGCGAATAACTCAGCGCGCGCCACGTGCTCAAATCTATGTTTTCTTATAGTTATAACTAGGTGCACCTAGGTGAAAATAAGTGCACCCGATCAATGAATGTTAACAAGGTAAACTTACATGCACTTGTAAGTGGAAATATGTTCACTTCTAGGTGAAAGTAGGTGTACCCGATCAATGAATGTTAACAAGACAAAATTACATGCAAGTAATATGTATTACAAATGCATGTAAAATGTATTATAGGTGCAAGTAAAATTTACACTGAGCATCAATACTAAGTGCACCTGACGTTATAACTAGGTACATCTATAGCTATAAGTAGTTGCACCTAGTGCACGAATGTTAACAAGCTAAATTTACTTGCACTTATAGGTGAAAGTAGGTGCACTTCTAAGTGAATTTACCTGCACTTTTTAATTGCAAAGGTGCACCAACTACTTGCACTTATAACACATTTACATGCACCAAAGTTTGAGTTATTTACGAAAATGCCACCGTGTTGTTTTTTAAAAATTACATCTAATTCTTTGATCTGGACACGTGGATGGCTAGCATGCATTCGTATTTCTCTCCTGGGCGCCTATTCGCACAGGAGTGAGACCCTATACATACATATATATATATATATATATATATATATATATATATATATATATATATATATATATATATATATACGCGTGCACACACACATTGTAGTTTCATTACAACGCAACTAAAGTATCATCTTAATTCAACAACAGTTTCAATTGCCATTGGACAATCAATATGTCAGACTAGTTATTGAATTTCATTTTATGAACACTCTAGTTATTACAACACCACTAAAGTATAATTCTAATTCATTGTCGAGCTAGTGAGCCCTGTTATTTTATTCATTGTCTACACTCAAATATGTGAAACTATTATTCAATGTTATTTTATATATAATGTTGTTTCATCAGGGCCGTTCCAATAAAAATGGATCAGAGGTCATGTGCGACATATGAATTTGGACCTCTTTTCACAAGAATATCTATTAATCTTGCATCCCAATTTATTGGATCATATATGCCAAATAAAAAAAAAAAATTATTTGGTTTGTCATTGTGACCACCATCATCTAAACACCCATCAAACCCTTCTTATCTTTTTCATCGTCACAGTGATACTTATCATTGTTGTGAACACTATCATTTAAATTTTTTCCAGTCTGATCTCACAATCACCTTGATCTTTTTTTATGAAGATTAGCATGTAACAAATTTTCATTGACATTATCCTTTTGCTCATCTATCTGATATTCTTTTGCAATGACTTTTTCAAGAGCTCCCTTTTTAGATTGAGTTAATTGCTCAATTCTTCTTTTCTTTTTACGCTTCTCATACCAGATGAATATTTTCTATAAAACATAATTTATTAAATCCTTAGAAAAAAATGTTTAGAATCTCTATCAATAAACAATTTATCGAGAAACAAACTCTTGAATATATTATTCAATATTTTAAATTATTAAGTCAATAATTCATGTCAATAAATAATAATTGTGAAATAAATCAAATAATATGTACAGTTAAGTTAATAAGTTTTAATTAATAATTACCATATGTCTGATGAAGAACTTGAGGGAAATAACTCAATGAGGGTAAGTAACTATTGATTATTATGACCTATTGACCTAGAGGCTAGACATTAGGGAATAGGAAAAGAGATTAGGGAAATAGAGATTAAGGAATAGGAAAAGGGATTAGGGAAAATAGAGATTAGGGATTGAATATTCAAAATATTATAGTAATAGAAGATTATATATGTTGATGCTTCATTCCTACATGTGAGTCCGCGGTTACTGCGCTCTAGCCTCATAATCTCATATAATGTATGGAGTTAATTCCATTTTGTATCCTAGATTTACAGGTGACAATTTATTTTTGGTCATTTTTTTATTAGAACATCCTCATTTGGTTATAGTATTGTTGTGGCATGACCAGTTTTAGTTCTCCATCAACAAAATTGTTGAAATATCGTTAAATACAAAGACATTTCAATCTTTTTTATACAAAGTAGGTTAAAGCGCTATATTTTTTATGTTTATTTTTATCAAAACATTTATAATTAAAGACCGAAATGTCCTTGTATTTAATGATATTTAAACTATTTTGTTAATAACGGATAAAAAATGATCATGTCACAATAATACTAGGACCAAAAGTGGATATTTTAAAAAAATGACTTAAAATAGACTGAGACCAATAAATCTAGGATAAAAAATAGAATTAACTATAATATATGTATATAATTTTTTCCGGCCCCCAAATTGGGCCCTTTGGGGGCCAATTGTAAAAAAAAAAAAAAGAAAAAAAAAAAAAGATAGAGTTATAAGTGTGTGTGTGTGTGTGTGTATATATATATATATATATATATATATATATATATATATATATATATATATATATATATATATATATATATATATATATATATATATATATATATATATGGAAGGGATCAGGTGCATTTGTTGCTTCCCGTGCGGTTGTGCGGTGGATTAATATGCGTGAGATTTATACTTAATGTGCGTGAGTGTTAGGCTCAATATGCTTGAGATTTGTACTTAATGTGCGTCATGTTAATATGCGTGAGTTTTGTACTTAATGTGCCAGAGTATTGTGCTTAATATGCGTGAGATTTGTGCTTAATGTGTGTGAGTAATAAGAGAATTTTCAACAATCTGGAAACATTAATTCGAGGAACCTCTTGCAGACCAATCACCAGTAGATCAAAATTTTCTGTTTCTTTCCACTAGTGTTTCTATGTCCTCCATACTCACCTTCACCATAGCAGAATAAATCAATTAATAAATAAATAAATAAACAAATCTGACATGATGGAATTGAAGCAAACAACAGAAGTTCTAGATTCTCGCACCAAGATCGGTCTGCATAGACCATTGATAAGGATAGAATTTGTGTATTCACTTTGGGAAGCTTTTATTTCATTGTAAACATCAGTAAAAGCAGAGCAACACACTATTCACTTTGGGAAGCAGTGCTGGGGATGGGGAAGAAGCTGATAACCATATTTTCTGCTGCATTTTACACATTCACGCGCATTAAGTAAAAATCTCAGGCACATTAGACACAACACTCACGCACATTGAGTACAAATCTCACGCACATTAATAACCGCACAACCGCACGAGAAGCATTCAACCGCACGGGAACCTTTCACTTTATATATATATATATATATATATATATATATATATATATATATATATATATATATATATATATATACATATATACATATATATATATATATACATATATAGATATATATATACATATATATATATATATATATATATATATATATATATGTATATATATATATATATATATATATATATATATATATATATATATATATATATATAGATTTTGGTTCCTGTGAGGTCATGTCTTCTCGTGCGGTCAGTGCGGCATACACCATTAGGTATGCATAAATGCACCATACAGTGTTCGAAAATACACCAGAATGAAATGCCAAAAAATACACCACACAACAAAAAAATACACCACACATAATGGTGTATTTACGAACACTGTATGGTGCATTTATGCATACCTAATGGTGTATGCCGCACTGACCGCACGGGAAGACCTGACCTCACAGGAACCTGACCCTATATATATATATATATAGGCGAGTTCAGGTGTGGCAGTGTCTTACGGTGCGGCAACACCAATAGTTCAACAAATATGCACCATCAGCATTAGGAAAATACACCACACAAAACAATAAATAGAGCCCCGCATCACCAAACACACACCATTAGGTGTGAGTAAAAACACCATACACTGTTCGGAAATACACCATTAGGAGTGGTGAGTTATATGGTGTATTTTTTTGAGTCTGTTGTGTATTTTGTGATGTTTTACTGCATTTCATTGGGGTGTGTTTTTATTACACTGTTGGTGTATTCTGGAATTCCGCCGCACCGCAGCACGGGAAGACCCCGCCGCATTTGAACTTTATTATATATATAACTCTTCATGGTGATGGTTTTTGGGGCTTCTAAAGACAGACTTGGACATTAGGGACATAGTGAATGGACTCTAATGAGTGATCAACAAAAGGTAAATAATCTAATTTCATTTTCTCAATCTATTTCTTTGTACTTTCTGAATTTGTTTGTAAGTATTTAAATTTAGTTTGCTTTGTTTTGTGCCATATCTTTTGTAGGATTATCCAATGTCATTAAAGATGTATTCCCTGGAATTCAACATAGAAACTGTGTTAGGCATGTGCATGCCAATTGGAGTAAGAGCCATCGAGGGAAGGTACTAAAGACTCATTTCTGGCAGATTGCAAAGAACCCAAATGAAGCACAACTTGCTGAAAATTTGAAGGCTTTAGAGAAGATAGATGTTGCTGCTCGCGTTGCTCTTGACAAATATCCTATGCAATTTTGGTGCAAGGCTTACTTCAAGAAAGATGTGAAGTGTGACATGGTAGATAACAACTTGAGTTAGGAATTCAACAAAACTTTGTTGAATGCAAGGTCAAAATTCATAATTCCAATGCTTGAGGATATACGGGTAGCAACAATGAAGAAGGTTGCAAAGAAAAAAGCATGGGCTCAAAATTGGAGAGGGAATTGTGGGTTATTGGTCATGAAGAAACTGAATGAAAGCATACTTGGGAGTGCAGGTTGGGAAGTGGCATTCAATGGAGTTGAGGGGTATGAGATTAAAAAAGGCAGATTTCAATGCAATGTAAATTTACAATTCATGACCTGTTCTTGTAGGCTTTGGCAGTTGACTGGTATCTCATGTCGTCATGGTATTTGTGCAATATTTCACAAAGGACATCAGCCTGAAGATTACATACATGAATGCTATAGTAAGGAGCTATACTTGAAGACATATGAGCATGTAATCCAGTCATTGAATGGGGAAATCTTTTGTCCAAGGACTGAAGGTGATGAAATACTTGCTCTTGTTCCAAGGAAGATGACTGGTAGGCCAAAGAAGAAAAGAAAGCTTGAAGAAAATGAAAAAAACAAACAAAAAATGAGTGAAGAGGTTAGAAAGTTGTCTAGAAAAGGAAGAATTATGACATGTCAATTATGCAAGGGAAAGGGATATAACAAACGATTTTGTCCTACATTGTCAAGCCAACAAGTAGAATCTGCCGGTTCTTCTACTGTTAGAGGAAGAGGAAGACCATCGACTGCTTTTAGAGGAAAAGGGAGAGGAAGTGGAAGAGGGACAAACTTGTCTCAGGAAAGCTTTGTTGGAATGTCAGGTAAATAAATTGAACATAATGCAGATTTAAATAATTCATGTAGATGATTGTTAGTAGTTTATGATTAATTGACAATGCTTTCTTCTTTTGTGTAGCCACAGAGTGAAGCTCAATGGGACCATGAAGGCAGATGAGATGGATGAAGTCACTTTTTTTCTCATTATTTTTATTTATTTTTATTATTAACTAGCTGGTGTTTATAGCTACTGTGTATGTACGATTTTGTCTTTTAACTAGCTAGTGGATTATGAATTGAGAATTTATTTTGTTTTGTTATTAGCAATAATATATATTGGTTTTTCTTTTTACAATTTATATTAGTAACTTGATTTCCATTTTAATTTCACTTGGTGGATATATTTATGTGCAAAAATGCTAAACAAAAAAAAAATAGCATTTCTATAAATTAGGAAACCTGGAAAAATATTAAACAAAAAATTATGCAAAAAATAAAAATTTTGAAAAAAAAAAAAAATTGAAACATTAGAATTGAAAAATTGAAAAAGTATAAATTATGAAAATAAAGAGAAGAAAATTATGGTTTTTTATATAATAATTTTGGTTTTTTAAATTTTAAATATGTAAATGCTTACATGGACAATATAAGGTTAAGAGAAATGCCACATCATGTGCCATGTCAGCAGGAAGAAGGGAAACCTGCTAAAAGTTATAGGTGAATTTTATTTTTTGGTTTGTGGATTGATATATATGATATGAAAGTTGAGGGTGCGGGATGAATAATCGAATATGGTTCATGGTGCTAGATGACACTTTAGCCTAAAATTTTTATTCTGCTTTTTTTTTTTTTATGCTTCTATTACAATGTAGTATATGTTCATAACTACTTTTTCGATCTACTGAAGTACAAAGAGTCAATAACGTCTCCACTGATGCTCGAACTCATAACCTCCCATATAAATCAATTCAAGTGACAAGTGTTACATTATTTATTTGATTAATTCACATGATTGATTAATTCACTAATAATCAATAAATATAGAGAAATTTCTTTAAAATTTCATAGACGACGACACATAATGTGTAACGCTAACAATTTATTTTTCGTGGCGTAACCACATCTAATTGGTCGCTTAATTCTATTTTAATAGGAAAATGCTTTCTTCCATTTATTGGTTGCTATTAATTAGCTGATCCACGGTTAATTGAAAATAGAATTAAGCTATCAATTAGATGTGGTTATGTCACGCAGAATGAATTATTAGCATTACTCATTTTAAAATCAGTCGTGGACAGATGGAATTGTTAGTTTACTTTATTTAAACAAAATTCAAAACTAAAAGTTTAAATAAAAAAAATAAAAAAATAAAATAAAAAAGTGAAATAGGGAAAAAGTAGTCCGGACTACTCCGGAAGGGCAGAAACGGCTGTACTTAATTGACAATCCAATTGAGGTAATGATACTATGTTCGGAATGTTCTAAATAGAGATGTGGGGCAACATACAACACAACACGTAACCAACTAAAATAAATAAATTATACAATAGATAATGATCCACGTTGTATTGTAGATACTTAGTCTAAAATAATTTTAAATTATGTGTATATAATTAACATATTATGTATCTTCATTTAATAGATTATGCAACTATAAATAAACTAGTTTTTTTACGCGCATTACGCAATTGAGATAATGCCTAATATATTTTTTTTTTTAAATAAGTACTATAAAATATATTAATGCAAGATTATATTGGAATTGTTCATACATAGATAATTGAATGTTGAATTTGCGTATTTAAATAAGTAATTCTAAGTTTACAAATGCAAGATAATATAGTCAAGATTGATTATAACTGTCAATAAAATAATTGTGTGGGTATTGTTGAAACCAAATACGGGAAATAAGGGAGAACAAATAAAAATTAGGGCATAAAATATTAAATATATCCTAATATTGAAGAGCTAACTGCTGATTGCCAAACAAAGACATTACGAGATAGTTTCCCAATTCAATTTGTTGTGTGATTTGAATACTCTTTTTGTCAATAAATCCCCCAAATAGTTAATATGATTGGCTTAATTATACTTTTTATTTATATTTTTATAATAATAATAATAATAATAACTATTATTATTATTATTATTATTATTATTATTATTATTATTATTATTATTATTATTATTATTATTATTATTATTATTATTATTATGAAGTATATGTATACCCTTAGGTCATTTTACGTGTTAATCTAAACGGCTAATTTTTTCAAATATCTTTTTACCAACCGTTGATATAATTCGCTGGTCAAATTCGCTAACTGCTGATTATCAAACAAGGACATTGCGATGTAGTTCTCACTTCAATTTGTTGTGTGATTTGAAACTCTCTTTGTCAACAAATCCCTCAAGTAGTTAATATGACGGGCTTTATTAATTATGTTTTTTTAATTTTTTTATGGTATTAATAAAATACTTGGTAAATAAATATATAGCATTATTCTGTATTATAATTTTGATATTTAATTAAAAAATAGTGGACAAAAACGATAATAGACCATGTAGTGAATATAATTAATTGATTAATTTGAATGTAAAGAATTTTTACATTGGAGAAAAATAAAGACAATATAACTAATGAAATTATTTCTCTTATTTAATTTATTTATTGATAATGAATAATTTTTTTTTTTTGAATAAAGACATTGTACACACATAATTCTAAATTAAAGAAATGCATATGTATTATTTTTTGTTGTAGCTATTAAATTATTAATTAGTAGTTTAATAAGAGTAAAATAGAGTACTAATTATGCCAACTTTAATTTGATTGGGATGGGGTTCAAACCTGAGACCTTTCTTATTAAAATCAATGAGTAAGTTAATCGTGAACTAACAGAAACTAACGGAAAAGATAATATTTAACGGAAAAGTTAATGAATAATCATATTCATTAAGGATAAATTAGGAAATCTGAAGGAAAAATTAGTTAATGGATAATCATATTTATTAAGGATAAATTAGGAAATCTGAAGGAAAAATTAAAATCTGATCAATCTGGGCCATTCATTTGATTAAAAAATTTGACCGCCATTTTTTCTATCCATTATAGGCCTAACTCTTTTGGGCTCTTATTAGTATAGTAGATATTAAGTACATAATATGTTAACTGTAATCACATAATATTTTAATTGCAAATACATAATATATTAATTATAGTAAATACATAAGTTACTAATTAAAGTCTTATAATATGTTAGTTGCAGACATCTAATCTTTAATGTTTTTATTGAGATCAAGATTCACAATGCAACCTTGATCGATGGTAAAACAGTACAATTTATTTTATATGGATATTTCATCGTGTAATATAATTGAAGTGTACGTACAACTCTTTGGTTTTTTATTCTTTTTTATTTTTACCTTAACATGTTCATTTCTATTTTTTTAAAAAAAAATTTATATTAATAAATGCATTATGTTTGTGTAAAAAGTAGTAAGGGAATGAAAAGATGTCGTCCTCAAGGAGTAGATCAAATTTGATTGAATAGTACGGTGAGTGGTTAAGTACGAGAGCGTAGAGTGCTTTGAAACTAACTCAGAAAGAAGGGGACACTACTACAAAATTCACATACAACGTCGCCCTTTTAACGTCGGCTAAATACTTAGCCGACGTTAAATCATTTTTGTAATTTTTATTTTTTAAATAAAACCTTTAATGTCGGCTATATACTAATAGCCGACGTTATAAAGAAAAAATAAAAAAATAATAAAAAATAAAATACTTACAATGTCAGCTATCTTTATAGCCGACGTTGTAGGCATTTTTAATTTTTTTTAAAATAATATTTTAATATACGACGTCGGCTAAATAAATAGCCGACGTCGTATAATATATTTCTATTTATTTTTTAAGATAAAATCTAGATCTGATCTGGCCCGGCGTCCTCAATTCATTTCGCACAGCGCAGAAGAGATCGCGATTTAAATGGAAGCCAGCAGCCGTCGTCTCTCCACCACCCACCGCCGCAGCCGTTGTCGCCCACCGCCACACCGCACAGCCACCGTCACGCCGCTCCTTCTCCGCTGCCCAGCCACACTCGCCTCCGCCATCGCCACACCGTACAGCCACACCAGCCTCCGCCATCGCCCACTGCCACACCAGCCTCCGCCGACGCTCCGCCACATCGCCTCCGCCGGTTCCTTTGCTCCAACGCTCCGCCAGACCCAGCACAGCCTACAACGCACCGGAGCACCGCCTTCCCGCCGTAAGTTTTTTATTATTTTTTAATTATTATTTCAATTTCTGAATTATTAGAGTTACAATAAGGGAAAATGACACTTTTTACCCCTGAGTTATATACTTATAGCACTTTTCCCCCCTCAATTATTTAGGTAAGCACATTAGCCCCCTCAATTATTCTAAAAGTGGTGCCTTTTCCCCCTAATATATTAAATTGACATTTATACCCTTAAAGTAAACATTTTATTTATTTTATTACTTCAACAAATTATTGCGTATACGTAGGGATGACCACGGTTCGGTTTGAATTGAACCGGATACTAAAGCAATCGAATTAATAGTTTACGGTTATAATTCAGATCTAGAACCCAATATTTAAATGTCAATTTATTAAAATTATGTATCAAAAAAATTGAATCTTGAACCGTGAACCGGCGGTTCCGGATCTGATTCGCAATTTTGAACCGTCTTTATTTTAAAATTTTATTTTTTATTTTAAAATAGTCTAAATTCAACAATAAATGTATTTTATTTTTTTAGTTCGGAACATGAACCGTCCGCTCCGGTTCACGATTTTAATAAACTCTAAATATCGAATTTCGATTCTAAATTGTAATTGGAATATTTCGGTTTGGTTGCTATAGTGTTTGTTTAGTTTGAACCAAATTATGGTCATAATTTGTTGGAAAAAAAATTAAATATTTAGTTTAAGGGTAAATATGTCCATTTAATATTTCAGGGGGAAAAACAGCCACTTCAATAATTTAGGGAGAAAAAATGCTATAGGTATATAACTCAGGGGGAAAAAGTGTCATTTTCTCTTACAATAATTATATTTGAATTATTTATTAATGTATTTTGAATTTTAGGAATTATTAGGTACATATTTTGAATTTTATATGTTATTGGTTATATATTTGGAATTATTAGGTTGATATATTTGTATTTTAGGATTTATTAATATTATATTTTGAATTATTATTAATTTATTTCGAATTTTAGGCATTATTGTTATTGTTATATTTTAGTTGAAAAAGCTTGTTCAGAACAACTTTTGTGAGTATTTACATAGATATGACTGCTACTTTGTTGTTCTGCTCATGTTTGATTCATAAATCTTCTCACTATGTTAAAGAAGGTCGTTGGACACTGGGATTCATATTGATCACATAGAAATTGCAAATTGTTCAGATATGAAAAAGCTAACTAATGGTCTAATGGATTGGCTCTATTAGTAAGGCACACACAAGTGCTGGTGTTATAGGATACAAACTGATAAGAAAAATGTTTTGCATACAAGGGTTAAGGCTCTATTGTCTGTCTCGTCATGATATTTCAGTGATTTAATTTGCAGTTTGTGTTGAGCACTGGATCTGGAGTTAATGGCTTTACCCTTGATCCATTACTAGGGGAATTCATACTGTGCCTCTTTCGGTGCATCAAATATGGAGGAAGGACAAGAAATCTCCCCCAAAATGAGTAAGTACTGTTCCATTTCTTTCCTGAATCAAATTTTCTTGTCTCATCTTTATGGTCTATTCCATTTTCCTAGATATGTGAGTCAGAGAATGGGAAGAAATAAGTTGAAGTCTTTCGGGCCAGTAATATGTAGAATGGCAATGCTAGTCTACGTTCGTTGTGGGAGCTTCTTCTTTAAGGCGCTAGGCATCACGCTCCTGTTTATGGCCGGTTTCCCCAATGACCTGGTTCAGAGGGAAACCAATTACAAGAACTTGGACCTCCTTCAGAAGTATTACAGGTATTCAGCATTACAGTACTTGTGTTTCTTGATCCCAAGATGCTTTTTTTTTTTTTTTTTTACGGTTTTGAAGGCCTTCATTTCGGTTCTGCTTAACAAATCCTGAGAATGTTGCAGAACAGACAAAGATGCAGAAGGAGAGGAGTTATTTCTGTCATATCCTTTGGCTGATGAGAATGCTGGTCAGCATACAATCCACATGGCTGCATCTTCAAAGCAGAAAAGCAAGAAACACACAACCACTTCAGGGAATCTTGATGAGAAAACTTCAGCTGTTAAGTCTCCTCCTCCACATTCTGATCAATTTGAACTGACATGATGTGCCTCAAATCGAACAAATGGCACCTTTTCACCTAAGCTAACATCATCTCAGGTTCCAACCAACATGCAGCCATTGTCGACGAACCCAGTGATTATCAGTCCTAACATCAATACTCTGTAGATCAGTATACTGCATAATTAGATGCTTTTGATAGGTAGCTAAAATATTGTTGTCATATATGTTATTAAACTGATAACCTTTGAGGCTTCATTACTAAATTTAATCAAAGTACCACTGACATTCTGGTGGCTGGATTTATGTGCATGCTGATTTCAATATTTAAGTGCTTGCTCTTGGAATTCATGGATGTTGATTTGTAGGATGTTCGTGAAAGATGTTCATGGATGATGAATTAAACAATCTACCAATCTCATCACATATGATGTCAATTAAACCAGTCGCAGTTCAAGAGGTAAGCTTCTTCCCATGAACTATTACTAATCTTGAAATAGTACAAGTAAATTTGTTCTAATGCGTGTTTCCACCATTTGGAACTATGATTGGCATCATTTCCACAAAAACAATTGAATGATGACTTCCCTGCTGGTCCTCTGATCCGCAAGTGCGTTACTTTGGACCAGGTCATATTTTTGCTCTATGAGTTTAACCTCATTGATCTTGTAGTTAACATAGTTAACAAATATCTGATAAAGGCATGAAGGACATTATTTTTCAGGTATTCTAATATTCTTGTAACTGCACCAAGCCAGGAGAATTTGAAAACTCTATTTGAGTTTATTTGCAAGGGATTTGACATGCTTGAATACAAGGTATGAATACTTTATACTTTTGGTGAATGTAATGCACTTATCGTGAATTTACAGAGGTTCATGTAGTAGATGCCTCTTACTATGATGTTTGTGATTATTTCATGTGCATTTCAACGGTGACTTTATGCATTTGAAAAGTCAGAAATCTTGCTGGAGTTTTCTAAGAAAAAAGCCTTTTGTTTTCATTGAGTGCTATACTTTTTGGAAAATACTAGCTTACTAATTATTTATTAATTATTAATTTTGTAGATCGTTGAGAGAGTTAGTGGATGGAGCTACTATCAACAAGAGATTGATCAAGTTAGAAACGTATGAGTTGATTTCTTTATTGATGTATGGTTAAATATGTGAATTAATTAATATAATTTGATCTTAGCTTGATAATTTTAAATTGTATTGTTAATTAGTATCAAATTGTGAGATTTATTACATTTATTAATTTTGAGATTATAAATATTAGATTCTATGTGTTTTGCTGTTGTGATGCGATATTTGAGCAGCAGGTTTTGGGTATAAATTGATAAAATAAATTTTATATTAAAAAAAAAACGTCGGCTAATACCAATTAGCCGACGTTGTATGTATTTTTTTTTATATATATATATATATACAACGTCGGCTAATACTAATTAGCCGACGTTGTATGTATTTTTTTTTTAAATATAGATACAACGTCGGCTAATACTAATTAGCCGACGTTGTATGTATTTTTTTTTAAATATAGATACAACGTCGGCTAATACTAATTAGCCGACGTTGTATGTATTTTTTTTTAATATAGATACAACGTCGGCTATTTGGTCGTTGTATCTATATTTAATATATATATATATATATATATATATATATATATATATATACACGACGTCGGTTATTTATTTAGCCGACGTCGTATCATTTATATACAACGTCGTCCAGAACAACTTCGCTTTTTAACCGACGTTAAAGGTCATATTTAGCGGACGTTAAAAGCCTCCTGGGGGGGGGAGACAGGGAGAGAGAGGATTCATGTGAGTAAAGTAAAATCAACAAATGAACAACCAAGTTGACAAACAAATGGAGAAGGCATGATTTGGACCAAGCTAACTTTGCATAAATGCTAGTGTTCCTAGGATTAAAACAGTGTAATGCTTCAACAAAGGGGCTAGAAAGCCGCTACTAGGTGTCAATGCCAATCTCGTAGACATTAACATTGATATAGAACTATAAAAGATGAAATCTGGAAATTGCTATTGGAATTGATTACAAGCTGAATTGATCTTCAAATATTCAACAATGTTGGATGGATTATTACAAAAGAGAAGTGTTTTGAGAGGTTTTTTCCCATGTAAAACCTAGAGAGAAGTAAAAAATGAAAAGTAATACTCTAAAAATAATGCCTTGGGCTATTTAAAACGGCAAATTATATTATGCACCGCGCGTCTTTTTTTTTTTTTAAAATGAAAATAAACCGTGTTAGTTTCCGCCGTTTCGCACCCTTTTGCAAAAAGTAACTCTGTTATTCAGTGTCATTTTGTATACACTGCAGTTTCAGTTCAACACAACTACAGTTTCATTTCGATATAACTATAGTTTCATTTGATATTTATAGACTCAAATATGTGAAAATGTTATTTAATTTTATTTTATATACACTATAGTTTCATTAAAACACAACTACATGATTATTTTGATATAATTACAGCTTCATTGTACAATATACACTCAAATATGTGAAATGTTATTCAGTTTCATTTTATATACACTATAATTTCATTTCACTATAACTACAGTATCATTTTGATATAACTGCAGTGTCGGTTTAGATATATTATAGTGTCAGTTGGTGTTTAATACACTAAACAAGCGGACTCCGTTAACTCTAACGGCGCCGTTTTTTACCGCGGTGCACATGCACCACGGTCTATAATATAACGACTGATTTAAAACTTCAATCCGGGGCAAAAATAACTACCTGCAAGGAAGCATTCTAGACGCATGGTCACGGTGGGACTTACGTCGTGACCCCAACCGTGACTACACACTCAAGTAGTAGGAACACAGGACCTCACGTTATGAGGTAGATGGTGACATCCTAGACCATGGTGCGAATTCTTGAAGTCACACTGCTCTCATGGTGTGAGTAGCAGATTGAGCCCACGGTGGACCTCATGCCGTGAGGGCGGGGCCAGATATAGCTCTCTGATCCTTACCTCATCACGCTGTCACTCTTGGTGTAAGTAGCAGTTTGAGTTTGAGGATCTAAAACCTCTCAACCATATATGGTCACGTGGTGCTCACGGTGTGACCTACACCATGAGCGCTCCCCGACTCCATCTTTATGCTTCAACTTTGTCCCTTGTTTCCCGTCATGCTCATGTTCCTTCGTTTTGCACTTCATTGACTTGTTTTCTCCTGCAAATAGCCCCCATCCATGCTATTTATGCCTTTATTTGATCTTCCTTACCTACAATTAAAAGCACCTCAATTAGATGAGATTTTTCAATGCAATTACTTTAAGATACAAACAAAAATAGGAGTACATAAAGCACATGCATCCATCAAAAAGTAAAAATTTATGTTTATCATTAATCTAATAACCACACTATTTTAAAAGGAAAATGCTTTCTTCCCTTCTAAAATTTTTACTTTTTGATGTGGCTTCCATTCATTAATTTTCATAAATTGATTGTCCTCACTACTAATTGATAATAGAATTAAGTTACTAATTAGATATTGTCACACGTGAGGAAGGTTGGATTTGATGTGAAAAGATATTAAGGGTGTGGTTGGTTCATGAGTTTACATACTAGGAATGAGAATCAAAATTATAGAGTGTTTGGTTGACAACTTTTTTAAAACACAACCATGTGATTTGATTATCCCTTAAATTAAAAACTCATTTCCTAATTAAAAAATGTATGATTCCATCTTATTAGTAATATGATTTTTGAGTTTGAATTAGTGTTTTTAGATTTTTGTTTTAATTTTTTTTGTTCATATTGGTGCTTTGGATGTCATTATATTAGGATCAATTGTCATGATTTTTTGTTTTTATATTTTTAAAACATTTATTCCCATTATAGGGTCATTCATAAACAAACATCAATATTTGTACATAATCATTCCAATTCCACCGTACTATCAAACATGCAAAATATTTTTACCAAAATCCATACCATTACCAAGTATTTGATTCCATTCCAATTCTGATTCTCATGTGGGAACCAAACACACCTTTAAATCTCTAGTATTACTCATTTTAAAATGGAATAAGGGTCAAATAGGCCATCCAACTACACACCAAAATGCAATTAGGCCACTGAACTCAAAAAACCTACCATTAGGTCCCTGAACTACACAAATTCATTCAATTTAACCTAAAATGACTTGTTTACTTGTTAATGTGATGACGTGTCGGTTTTTTTATTTAAAATTAATTTTTAAAATTTTATTTTAATAATTATAAATAAAATAATTATTTTAAACTTAAAAAAAAAAAAAAAAAAAAAAAAGAAACAGCCCGCCGGAGACGAGGGAACCCTTCGTCTCCGGGCAGCCAGCCAGGGAGTCGAAGGGTCCCCTTCGTCTCCGGCCGCCTTGGAGACGAAGGGGATCGTCTCCATGGCCTGGCTGCCCGGAGACGAAGGGTTCCGTCTCCATGGCTAGCCGGAGACGAAGTCTCCTTTGTCTCCAACCGGCCATGGAGACGATCCCCTTCGTCTCCATGGCGGCCGGAGACGAAGGGGACTTCGTCTCCCTGGCTGGCTGCCCGGAGACGAAGGGTTCCCTTCGTCTCCGGCGAACTTCTTTCTTTTTTTTTTTTTTTTTAATTTTTTTATTTTTTAAATTTAAAATAATTATTTTATTTATAATTATTAAAATAAAATTTTAAAAATTAATTTTAAATAAAACCGACACGTCATCACATTAACAAGTAAACAAGTCATTTTAGGTTAAATTGAATGAATTTGTATAGTTCAGGGACTTAATTGTAGATTTTTTAAGTTCAGTGGCATAATTGCATTTTGGTGTGTAGTTGGATGGTCTATTTGACCCTTATTCCTTTTAAAATCAATAATGGTGCGAGAGATGGAGCTATTAGTTTACTTTTTTTAAACAAAATTCAAAACTAAAAGTATAAATTCAAAAAAGAGTGAAATAGAGAAAAAGTAGCCCGGAGTACTCGGGAAGGACAGAAATCGCAATACATAATTGACAACCCAATTCAGGTAATGATACTATGTTCGGAATGTTCTAAATAGAGAAGATGTGGGGCAACATACAACACAACACGTAACTAATAACAACCATAAATTATACAATAGACATTGATCCACGTAGATCCTTAGTCACGGACCAAACAAAAAAATATTGTAGATCCTTAGTCTAAAATAATTTCAAGTTATGTGTATAAACTATAAAGTTAACATATAATGTATCGTCATTTAATATATTTTACAATTAGAAATAAATTTTAAGTACATAATAAATTAAAACTGTAAGTACATAATATTTTAATTATAAATATGTTGAATAAAATAATATAAACGCAAGTAAGGAGAAGAAGGAATAGAGAATGGAGAGGGAAGGCTGATCTTTCATTCATCTGTCCAACTTCCATTATACATACAATACATATATATAATACCGAATAATGGCATACATAATGAGACATTAATATGTCTGTTACAAATGTTACAAAATAATGGCCACCATTAATATTTATAACACTCCCCCTTGGACATTATTTGTCCATGATCTTAAAAACTTCACTAGGAAAACCACGTGGGAAAAAACCTAGTTGAAGAAAAGAGTACATGATATATGTAAAAACATATATTGTATTGGTCGCCTCATTAAAAACCTTAACTTAAGAAAACCCTGTGGGAAAAACTTAGTTAAGGGAAAAAGAGTACAACCATAAGCCTTCAGGGCGCAAACTGCATAATCTTCAGGATTTTGAGGTTTGTCCATTTAAGCAATTATTTTGCAACTTTTCCCCATTGTCATTACTATATCATACTCATGCCTCGTTAAAAACCACACTAGAAAACCCAATGAGAGAAAACTAGTGAGGAAAAGAGTACATGATATTTATGTATTTATGCGTTGCAAATAGTGCGCAACTGTTAGTCTTTTATGACTTAATTTTCAGGATTTTACGTTCAATCTTCCGGATTGATTCAAGTAAATGTACTTCCCGTCTCCCCCTGAAGATAACAATCTTCAAGTTCTACATATATTTCAAAATTTGAAGAGATGGATTGGACAAATCTTCTGGATTGTCACTAGAGTAGTGTACAATAATCTTATGGCTCTTCTAGAGCTCATATAACATTTGTGCAACACAAGTGTTATTGTCCTCATTTTGAACATTTAGGGAAATTCATTGTATAACCAGTTTGGACT